GCGGTGGTTCAGGTTTTGCTCTGGCCTCCTGTCTCTGACAGTGAAACGTGGGGTGCCTCAAAATAGGGTGAAGGACTGAATTAGATGTTTTATGAGCATTTAGATCATTTTTTTAATAGCGAATAGGATACTGATAGCACCTAATACCAGTTCATTATAGAAACTGTTGTACTTGCTCTGTGCTGTTACCCATATAAATATGTAGTCTCTCCCTGAAGCTGTGAATTCAGAAATTATGTACTGTGAGGGTCAATTCCACCACCTAATTAAAGAGGATTTAACTTTAATTTTAATTTAACTTTAATGGAATCTTTTTGTGTTTATTTAATTTAACTTTAATGGAATCTTTTTGTATTTATTGTGAGCCTTCATTTTCAAACAATTTCTTGTCTGTCTTTTCTGTTTGATTAATGAGGAAGTGTGACTTTACTAAATCAGAAGCATATTCCTCCTTGTTAGCGTGAGCAGTTTTATCTTTGCAAATTCTTAAATTTCAATGTGTGCTTCTGAATCAGTCCATCTTTCTGTTTAGACTAATATGCAAATAACATTTATGCTTAGATTGTTCTACCATTACTACCAGTTCATGCAGAATTCACATGTTCCCCCACCCCCGCCAATGATATTGCTGGTCATAAGGACTAAAGCTCTTGGTTTTACTTGAAGTAGCATCAGTTTCCCTGTAAACTCAGAGATTAGGCAGAATATATATGTAAACTGAGATCTTTTGCTTCAATCTGTCTTGGCATCAGTTTAGTAGATATAACCATTCAGAAATACACCATCCTGGCATTAAGCAAATAGTGCAACTCTTCCCTTCCTCCTTCTCCTCAGTTTTCCACAAGGTGGTTCTGCTCAGAGAGTTCCTTTCATCACATGCATAATGAAAGTTGCATTGCAAAACTTGACAACTTGTTTACAGATGATGTATTACTATCTGTATATCCGTGCTTATGGGTATGCTTAATAATAATTTGCTTCGTTCTCATGTACTTTCTTTATGCAAGGAATCTTTTTTTTTTGTTGTTGTTCTAGATGGCATTGTCAGGCTCAGTCACTACTTGTCTTTCTCCACCTGTGCATTATGTGATTTGCAGACTTGGATTTGAGAAAAAAGACACCTATGATATTAGTAATATTTTGTCTGAAAATGGTGAAGTATGTTGGCAAGCTGTTACAGAGCATGTGTGTTACCGTGAATCAGGTTGGTGTTTACCTGCTGTAGTAGTGATACATTTAAGACTGATGCAGAATCTTAGTATAGTTCATAGCAATCCTAGCTTAGTTACAACATTTTATTAGAGTACAGCGTTAGCTTTGCTGTAGATTAGAGTATGTATAGTTCATATCTACAAGGAGCTTTAAATTTTTCATCCATGTTTAGTATTTGGTTTTTGCTTGCTCCTAACATTCATGTAATCTGTGCTACGTAAGTAGAGGCTCCTTTGCTTCCTCATTCATTTTGGTTCCCAACTTCATGTGCCTGTTCTGCTTCTCTCCTACCTCATAATTGCTTTCTTCTGTGTTCTTTATATTCCTTTTGCAGTAAATTTAAAACACTCTGGGGCCATCAGTATTCCTACTGTTGCTTCTGTTTTTGTTTCCCCAACTTTAGCTTGTACAGAAGTACTGTTTGGTTTCCCTTCTGTATGTAGAACAGTTTATAATTGTTTTTAACCAAAACAAAGTATTTATGCCCTGATGAACTCATTGAATTTTAATTTGCCAAATTGCATCATGCAAGTTAATAATTTCCAGAGATGGCAAAAATGATACGTTTCTGCCTCAAGCAATATCTTTCAGTAAACCAGAATAATTTATTTTCCTATAAAAGTGTCCCACCAAAGAGGAGCAGTGATACCGCTCTGTAAGGTATCACATCCATCTGTGTTCTTTAAAGGGTGTAAGTGGTGCGACTTGACTGAGCCCTCTGAGCCTGCACTAGCTTCCAGCTTGGTTATGTGGAGTATATGTTCTCTAGTAGGTTCTTCCCATTTCAACAAAACCAGAACATAATAATCCTCTTTACTTCCATATTTTCTTGCATTACGTTTTTTTTATTTATTTATTTGGAGAAGGTACTTGTTCTTACCTGGTTTTACACTGTACTTTTACTTTTCTATATCTTATCTGTGTGGTCTTTTGGACAGTAAATTGTAGTGTATTAGTCTAAATAGTCTGGATAAAATTCTCTGTTCTAAAAATGTACACAAGCTGTAGCAGGTTTTACTCCTTGTGAGTTTTAAAATATTGGACCTTCGGGAAGTTTGGTACTCTAATCACCTTCTGTTTTTCAATTTAAGATCAAAGTGTGGATTATATCAAAAGCATACGATCATTAGGACCTGTATGTGAATCTGTTAATTTGCACTTCAAATCTCTGACCAAGGAGCAATTTGTAATTCAGTATGCATTATGGTTCCACTGGACAAACTACACAGAGGTATGGAAAAGTCTGTTGACAATTTGTATTTTGGCACATGAACCCTTTGCGGAAGTTTAATGTAAGAACACACAAGAGATATCAAAGGACCAAATGCTTAGAATTTGTAACTAGTTGTCCTTCTCTGTTAAGTAGTTGCTTCTAATTTTCCTGACTTTGTAATTAGATTTAAGTTATCACAAAGAGAACATGAGGTGCTTTGGACCTGTTATAACCTAAGATGGTAGGATTTTGTTTTTCTAATAATCTGTGCTTAATATCAAGTTTTACTGTGTAAAGTTACTGTTGATAATTTTTATAGATGTAAGGAACTAGGTACATTGCAACTGAAAATACAAGAGGTGCTCTAGGGCAGTTTCTTTCCAGGCATCTACAGTTTTATTTCCTTGGCATGGTTTTCTTTCTACATTTGCGTAACAACTATCACAGAGGAATATTTAGGTTTCTGTGTGGTTTTGACAATTTGTTTTTTCCTTCTGAATATTTCACACAACTTTCTTCCTCTCCCTGACCATACAGTTATTTCTTGAAGTATTTGATGTTCTACACTATACACAATCTACAGAAGTTGCTCTTGGCTTAATGAAACTAACGTCATGCTTGGAGCGAGCCTTGGGTGATGTAAGTGCCAGCATGAGCAGTCTATTGCAGATTTGGTTTTACAAGATGGGAATGAGCTCTTGGGTTTAATTGCACGCTGAAAAAGTGAGATTACTCTGTACTGTAGTAGTACACAAATAGCCTGGCTGCATTTTGAGTTGGAGAGATGTTCTTTTCTGGATCTAGTTGTGCTAATGGAAACATCTCCTGGGGCTCCTTCACCTGTGCTGGTGGAATTGCTTGTATGAGTGCTGTTACTAACCAATTTCATGAAAAAAGAGCAAAGTTTGCTTAATCAGTGTACATATAGTAGGTCTTTGTGACTTTGATTTATTTAACTGAAACAGGGAGCAGCATACCTTCCAAAGAAGATCTGATGATGCAGTAACTTCTGTAATGAGAGGCAGGGGCATGCAGCTGGAAATGGGCTGCTAGATAACTTCTTTCCTCAGAGCGCTGTTCGCAGAGTGTACATGTTTAAATGCTTTGACATGAGTCTTGGTGTTTTTGCAGAAGTCAGCTAACAACTTAGTTCTAGACCTAACTGATCAGCTGGATAGATCTGGGATCCATCTTGTAGTCCTGAACATTCATCTTGTTAACACATTCGGTCTTTCCTTTACCCTATAGTAGTTAGTAAAGATATGCACTCTTGTTAAGTTTAAACAGTAATAATACTGCAGGAGTTCCATGACCAGCATGAGGCAAGGAGTGCATATGTGATAGACTTAGGAATTCTGAATGGTGTTAAGAAACTTGTATTGTGAATCCTTTTTGATGGAACATGAATTAGGCTTTGGTTCAACATTTGGTGGTAGCACTGCTTAAGTTTGTTTAATCAATTTTCACAGCCAACTGCCTTGTTTGCTGGTATTCTATATGTTATGTGAATGCAAATATTTGAAGGCCTAGTAGCAAGCTAGATTGACGAACTGGTCCAGGTACCTTTCCACCTTTTTCCCCTACCCCCAGTTTTGTTCTTCAGCTGGATCAGTTCCTTGATCTGCTTCACTGCATGACCACACAAACAGATGCCACCACTACTTATGGGCGTGCAGGTTAGGGAGAAGGGAGCAGCAGCTGTTTTAAGAGGCTTTGCTGCTGGGCTATATTGCCCACAGATAAGATGAAATAGCTGGTTCTTAAATCTCTGTGAGGAGCTCCGGAAAAGGAAATGCCAGAGAAAGATCGATGAGCTAATTCATACCTAGACAAACCAATTTGCCGAAGCATGGGGGCTGGTAAATTTTGAAGTAATGAAAAATTACCAAAGATTGGAAAAAAACATCAGGGACAATACGTAGAATGGAAGGCTTCATAGCAGTTGAGACTAGAGATGCTAAGATTGCCCAAGTGGCATAAAATCTAGTTTAAGGAACAGCCAGAATCAGAAGACAAACCACAAGTCTTCTTCCTTTAAGAGTGACAGACCCTTTAGATTTCTATGGTGAGAATGAAGTATGGTGTCCCTGATAGAGTTTTTTCCCTTAATTATGTGTTCTTGTTGTGCTTTATGGGTTTTTTTTTTGGAAGAGAAGAGCAGTACGTGTACAGACACTGTGAAACGCCTACCTATAGGAACATTAAGTAGCA